GATTAAGAATTATGCAAAGTCACCAAGTGTTTCACATCCCCTTCCCAGACTGACACAAAAAAGAACAATCATTCAGCATGCAGTCAGCATTACATTATCCTCTCTGCTACCACGGAAATTCAAGCATCTATATTGGCCATGGCTAAACTCGACTCTTTGGTGAACCAACGATACCTAGCCACACAGTTGAAAATACCACAACTTTTGTCCTGCAAATACTGTACTAGTTAAAGCAAAAATGACAGCCACAGTACTATGATTTTACCTACTCATTAATAAAGAAAACTTTCCACTTGAGATTGTTTTTTTTCCTTCTGAGGTTTTGATGCACCCTGATAAATGGGCTCCTCTTAAAATTCTAGCTCTTTCCATGCATCAGAATGGCTGGTATGTGGAAAAAATCACCTACATGTGTATTCAGCACCTGCAGTGTGCCGAAAGCTGTTGTAAGGGCTCTATGTGCATCGTTCCATTCGAGTTCCACTCAACGCTTGGCAGTAAGTTTTCATATTACAAAGGAGGAAACTGAGGCATGTGAAATCTGAATAACTTGTCCAAGGCTACAGAGCTTGAATGGGTAGGGCTGAACCCCAGCAGTCTGCCGTCAGTGTCTGCGCATTGGCCTTTCAAGCTCTCCAGCCTCCAACCCTGAAACAGCTGAACACACTGGGCCAGAGAGCCTAGGGGCTAGTGCCAGATGGAGTTCTAACCTGGGGTCTGACACAGCCTCCCTTCCTCAAAGGACGAGTGTCTCCTGGCTATCTCCAGTTGCTCTAGGGCTCCCCACAGCTCCTTCCTGCTTCTGGGCCTCCTGCCACCGAGCCCAGCCTGGCTGAGCCTGCATTCTGCAGATCTGAGCTGCAGAGAAACTTCTCCAGTGCCCCAGGCTGTGTCCCCCCCTTTGCTCTCTGTACTCTCTAATGCACCACTGCTGTTAACTGTAATTAAATCATTCTTTGATCAATTATTTGTTTAATGTCTAGCTCCCCTACTTCACTATAAACAGTGGTGGGTCCAGGATTTCTTCGTAGGTGGGGGCAAGTAATCTGTTTGGGTTGGGGGACTTGGCTTTCAGTGCTTCATACTTGACAGGCTGAGAAATGTGAATTGAACATAGAAATGGATAAGAGTGCTGCACCCCCCCCACCCCCAGCATGGCGTTACCACTGACTGTAGCTCCATGAGGGCAACAAGAGTGTCTACCTCTTTTATCACTGTAACCCCAACACCTTGACACCGTGCCTGGCACACAGGGAGTATATAATAATTTTTTGTGGAATTAATAAATAATTAAAACAGAACCTCTGACTTATCTGAAAAAGAGCAATGATAAGGCCCAGAACACAGCTTTTTAAAGCAACATTACATAGGAAAACATGCCGAGCACAGGTCTGGCACACTGTAAGGACTCCACAAATGTCTGTTATTGGGTTGGAATTCCTGCCTCTCCCCACTCGCACTAACTCGGCTCCCAGGGCCTTAGCCAGACCAAGAGCTTAATGAGAGGGCAAAGCCCCAAACTGAACCCGCTCTACTTCCCTGGCCACGATCTGGTAAGGGTGAAAATGGTCAACACTGAAGTTGGGGTGAAAAGATCGTAATTAACATGGGCAGGAATGCAAGATTGTTAGGATTTGCCTTGAGCAGAAAAGTTATACCGGGGAAGAGACTGAGCAATGTTGGAATGAAGAAAATAATCCAGCACAGGCCTACTGGCTGCTTGATCCAAAAGAGTAGATGTGGCCCGGCCGGGCGTGGCTCAGCGGTTGAGCATGAGCCTAGGATCCAGGAGATCACAGTTCGATTCCCTGTCAGGGCACATACCTGGGTTGTGGGCTCGATCCCCAGTCAGCGGTACGCAGGAGGCAGCCGATCAATGACAACCCTCTCATCCTGATGTTCCTATCTCTCTCTTTCTCCCTCTCCCTTCCTCTCTCTGAAATCAGTAAAGATATATTAAAAAAACAAACAAAAAAAACAAGAGTGGATGTGGTGTCTTTAAGCTGTTAAGGAAACCATGTTTTGCATTCCCCCACCATCTTTCATTCTGTCCCCTTACCCACTGAGTTTTGGGCTGCTGGAGAGGTTTAAAATACAAATCAGCGTGTCACGAGCCTACTCAAAACCCATAAGAGGATGATATCTGAACTCCTCACTGGGCCAACTTCAACCTTTCTCATCAAGCTGGGGCCACAGAGGCCTCTGGTCAGCACCTCCATGTCAAGCTTGTCACAGGGGCTCCCTCTGCCAGACATGTCTCCTCAACCACCCCCAGGCTCACTACTTCTCAGTCTGCTGGACTCAACTCATAACCGCAAGCTCTCTCTCAGACAGATAATCCTCGATGCCCAAATTAAAATCAGGTCCTTCTCCCCACTCCCCATTTCCCAGGGTTCGGTTACTTTTCCCTGCTACCACTTGTCTGGCCTCACATCTCTCTCTCTCCACAAGACTGTGAGCTCCACAAGGGCAGGGAGGGCTGTCTATCTCTCCCCACTGAGTCCCCAGAGGCAGGGCAGGCCCCAGCACAGAACAGATGAATGAATGAATATCTCATAACAGTTGCCCCAAACCTCACCTCTCTTTAGGTCCCAAGTAAGAGCAGAATATGGTCTCTAGTACCCTCCCAGACACTGAATCACACTCCGCTTAGGCATCACAGGCTCCTCCCAGCTCAAGACTGGGGGCTCTTCCATCTTCTCACCATCCTAGCAGGCCCGAGGTCTCCTTACCTTCTCCTTCAGAAAAGCTGGGAAAAGACCAGAAATGCAAGGAACACTGTCTCTTGGCTAATTCCTCTAATAAAAGAAACAGGACAGCGAACACCCCCCCCCCCC